AGAAGAAGAAAGAAGAAAGAAGAAGAAGAAGAAGAAGAAGAAGAAGAAGAAGAAGAAGAAGAAGAAGAAGAAGAAGAAGAAGAAGAAGAAGAAGAAGAAGAAGAAGAAGAACTGTCCGACTTCAGGCAAGCTTTTTAAGACCTCCCCCGGCTGCGATCGGCTATTCTCGTCAGATTTGGGTCAATATTCTAGCGCGCAAAACAAGCTACATACATTTAAACGGGCGGATAGTGGCACTTTAGGCTTTCCATAGCTGGGAGTCCCAGCAGCTTCAACTAAAGCCAGTCCCCAACTCCGGGGACTTCCGGTCGGGAACTTCGGGTGGCAGTATACGCCGTGAAGTGGTTTGCGGCCTGCCAGTAAACCCAAAGCAGAAGAAGTAGAAGTGACGTCAGCGGCTTCATTTGCCTAATCCTCCCCCAGGGACTTTTTCCGGTGTGAACGCGATCTGTACTTAGTTCATGAGAACTAAAGAGTTCTCATGAACTAAGTTCTCATGAACCTTTGTGGGAAAAGTACTGTGGTGTGAAAGCGCCTAATGGTGCTCTAGGAGGAGATTCAGGTGATAAGGTGGGGGGGGGGGGGGGGTACCTTGGTTGTTGATTGGCTAATGGTTACACAAGCCAAAAAATCGTTATGACATCATAAAGTGGCCAAAATCTGATCAGCTGATTTTCAGACAGGTTTTTATATAAATGGATCAGGACAGAAAGTGAGAGAATCTTTTTTCCTGAAACTTTCAGAATCTCTACACAGAGGGGACACATGTTTATAAAAGACATGAAAAAGTGGATTTTGCATAATAGGTGACCTTTAAATTGTGAAGTAGGAGTTGATGTCATATCTCAACCATTTATTAAAGTTTGCTTCTCCAACATTGTTATTGCCACAAAAAAAACCGCTCTTCTGTACAGTTGCAGAATATATTATTATTAACAATCATACTATGAAGGCACACATGTATTATTTTGTTGCAGCTCACATGTTTATTTATTATTACAATAAGCAGTATTTTATTCCACAGTACAGCATTTTACGTTCTGTGTTTAGCTTATCTTGTTGTATCTGCGTTCAAACGGGTCAAACCCTTTATATATAGTCTATGGTCAAACCCTTTAAAAATGAGCACATACATTTTTTTAAATGTTTTTCTTAAAGTTTATTTATGAACTTTGAACGAGTCGAAACTTTCTGAAAAAATTATCTGAATTTTGTTGATTTTATTGCAATTTTATTATATTTGGTATATTTTTCTATCACTTGTACATTGCCTATTTTAAACAGTATAGTTAACTTTTTGTAAGCATTAGCATTCAGCTAACCAGACTAGATTTCTCTCTAGATCAGCTAATAATACCTAAAACTATAAGCCAATAACATCCAATGTACCATTATGTTTTCATCATTCTTTATTGAACATCAAAAAAGTATCAAAATATTTTCAAAAGCATTTCAAAGCACAATTCAGTGTGTGCAGACACCCGTTCATTTGTCGCTCAATTCACATTATTTGAATTTATACAGCCAAATATTAAACAATCATAAGCTCAACACACAAACACACACATTTGAAAAATATATATATATACCAAAAATGACAAAGAGAAAAAACAACTTCATATCCCCAACATCTCTGCATCTGTATATAAATGAAAGGCAATAAGAAGGATACAATCTATACAGTATTTGGATGAATAACAGCTTCTTGCCTATAGGTGGCGGAACAGAGATTAAACTGCATTGTGAACTTGGCCTATAAAGTCTGAGAAAAGTTGGAAAGATATGAATAAAAACAGAGATATAAAAAAGGTCTTTACACTCGAGAAAAATATGACAATTTAACATATAATATGGCTTTGAAGGAGCTGAGATAAAGACACCATTTACATTACTGATGGTTTGCCCCTACTTTGGCATGTTTCCAAGATGTAATGTTCATAAACGTCTTTATCTTTCTCATACTGCCCGTCCAAAAGCAAGGCGAGTTTGAGTAACTTTCCTGTGTGTTTATGAAGAAGTACACACTTTATATTCAGGATGGTTTGAAGTCAAAGTGTTCCGCTCTTAGATCATGAAGGAGTGAGCTTGTTTGTAGTGTTTGATCTGTAAAAGAGCAGAGAGACATGCAATGAATCATTTCCTTTAATTAGCCGAGACCAGTGTTATCAGCAACTTATCAACAGAATTTAAATGGCAACCGTGAGCAAAACAAGCCCTGGCACGACAACAATCCCTCTGATCACTCACGTTTCGGATGGGAGGCGGAGGAGGAGGGTTGTAGGATTTGTTGCTGAAAGACAAAGGGTGGCAGTGTGAGTTCATTATCAACTAATACACACACGGTTACAGGCAAAAAGAGTCAGATGAAACAAGTGAAACCCTCACCTTTTCATTTTCTTCTCCTCTGTTCAAAGAAACGACAAAGAAGAAACGTTAACGTTTGTCATGGTGTGGAGTCTATTTTTATATAACATTACAAGATTCTTATTATTACATTATTTGCTTATTGTGCTCATTTTATGTTGCTGTGACTTTGGAAGACCCAATCACCCCCCCAAGTGCTGATGGGGAGGATAGGAACGAAGGGAAAAGTCACATGCGAAAGTGTTTAGCTTGCAATATTGAAAGTAGCAAGGTCAGATGCAAAGACTGAGAGAATACAAAGAGGTAGTCAGAACAGCACATCGCACCGGCCTTATGCCGCGCTCCCACGCAAAGCTAGGAAGCAACATTATGGTTTCCCGCTATATCTGAAGAAACGTTAGCGAAAACAAATTACATATGATAGAGACAGAGTAGGGAGGGATTTCGCCAGCCGGCCGAATGATGATTGGAGGATCGTGTTGCCAAGAGACTCTTGTCTGAGTCTGTGCACCAACCAAAGAGAACCAAGTCTAAACCATGGTATCTCTTCAGCTAGTCTTGACCAATCATAAATGTACGGGCAACGCCCTGTGTAATAAAATGTATTGTCGCGCGAGGTTCGAGGCTCTTTACGGATATGGCAGGGTTTCCCACACATAGACTTTACTTGGGCGGGCCGCCCAGGTATATTAACGGCCGCCCAAGTATATTTCACGACCCATTTAGGTTTTTTTTCCTTTTTTTTTTTGTCCGCGACCACGAGGCCATCTGCGATCGATTCACTTGTGGACAATGACCCCTCGCTCTACGCCTCCTGTACCCAGTCCCAGACTGGCCATCGGGAGGACCGGGGGGTTTCCCGATGGCCAGGCCTGTTAAGTGGCCTGCCTCACACAGGGTGACTGGCTGTCTACATGATGTGGCCTGCCGACATGGCCACTGTCATACAGATCATACATCAAAGCCCTTGATTGGTCTCTGTGTGTCATTCAAGCTCGGGATAACCTCAGCTCAGGCGAGGTAAAGGACTCTCTGAGTGTTTAGATAGTTAACTTAGTCTAAGTTCTCAGTGGGTCTCAAACGGTTTGGTCACCATTTATGTAAACACATATTTCCATTTGAGGGTGTCAGTGTTTTTTCATATTGGAAATGGAATGTTATTGGTTATGGCCATGATTTTATGATTATTGAAATGTATACAGTTCTGTTTCATATAGGTGTTTCCATAGATCTAGTCTCTTTATTTTCTCCTCAAAGTGCACCAGATTGATGCATTTAACTCCAAAATAAATAAAATATATTACCCGGGGAGCAGGCCCCCGGACCCCACTAGAGGATTTCAGGTCCACCCCCACTTAAAATCACATGGATAGGTTCCTACCAGGCTGTACCTGTTCGCTCTGCCATCGCGTGAAGGGTCTGCTAACAAGCGACCAACAGATTAATGTTGATGTTGATGCACGTCACAAAGGCACGTCACCTCAACCGTCACCTCAACCCCCCCCGCTACCACCAACCCCCCCTAAGTATATTATATTTCAGATCTGCGGGAAACACTGTATGGTGGTTACAGATTACAGCTTTGCTGCCTGTGATTCCCAAAGACGTGAAGAGTCCTTGGCCAAGTAATATATATATTTTGCTCTCTTTACAATAAATAGTTAAACTTAGAAGTTGTCTGTCTTTTCTGGAATTCTGAACCCAACACTGGTCACTGACTAAGCTGCACATTTGTCTATTAATCAGTTGGTAATGGTGGATAGTGATTAGTACATTTACTCAAGTATGCATTTAGACTCCTGTTTCTGTCCAACCTGACAAATGTAAATCCAATATTCACTCCGTTTCAGCTCCACTGAGGCAAATGTCAGGCTCTTTAGTTCTTTAAAGTTAGTCAATTAATCGGTATGTCTGCTTTTTGGGGCTGAGCAGGTGTACAGTGGCTTTTTAGAGTAATTTCCCTGATAACAAAAAGGCTGATAGGAGCAGTATAAAACAAAAACAATGCGCTTAAAAACACTATAATAATATTCCCTAAAACCACAGAAACTACTGAGTTTTCCATTTAAAATGATAAAGGAATGCATTTAATCCTGTCACATTTACACATTTTGAATGCACTTTTTAAACATTTCTAACCATTTCTATCCAGCAAATTCATAATTCACACACATCACACGGCCACTCACTCTTGCAGCAGCCTCGGCGCCTGCAGACACACACACAGATGCAGCAGAAGAGGACGAGCGCCAGGAAAGTTGCAGCACCTGCTATCAAAACCGTCGTATTCAAAGGATCTGGGAGGGGGGGAAAGAGAGGAATTACTCAGTGTTTGGTGAGTGAAGCGAGACATGTACATTTTAAATAGGAGTTTTACTAAAACCTCTTACAATCAATGACTTTGAGTTGTTGGGCCACGCAGCTCTTGGGCGCTCCCACGCTGTTGGAGGACTCACAGCGGTACATCCCCGCGTCTATTTTGGTCACACTCCTAAACTCCTGCTCCAGAAAAACACAAAGTGAGGAGATTAATGTGTTTCTTTACAGATGTGAACAGTCTTTATACTCCTTGGTGCATTCAGGTGTTTGTATATTAGATTCAAGATTCAAGTTCCAAGGCTTTTATTGTCATGTTGTACACATGACAATAAAAGCCTTGAAACTTGAATCTTGAATCTAATAGATATAGTGTAGATATATCAATGAAAATATTAGGTCACAGGCTCGTCCAACAATGTAACACAATAAAACAGATAACATAGTACAAGTAAATACAAATACAATAGAATAAGTGCAAGGAGAGTCTATATACAAGTAATTGGAATATGATATATTAGATTAATAATTATAGTGTGTACTCACGAGTGTGCCCTTGCTGGTGTCGGCGCTGTACTGCGTCTCTGCTGAGGGGGTCAGGGCCTTGTTGTCTTTGTACCAGCGGTAAGTGGCCGGGGGAACGCTGAGTTTGTCTTTACACTGAAGCTCCAGCCCGGAGCCCACGAACACCGAGCTGGGCACCTCGCAGGACGGGACGTGAGGAGGCACTGAGGAAGAAGAGGGGGGGAACAGATCCAGTTACGTAAAGTATAGAATTAACAATATTCACAGAAGAGGTGTGTGGTGGAAATTCAGCTGGCAAAATGTTGGTTCACATTTCAAAAAATGGTGGTTGTGGTTTTGATTAAAGGTCACCTATTATACTGTTTTTCATCAATATATTACAGGTCTCAGATATATACAAAACATGTCTCTGAAGTGTTTGGCTCCAAACACCAAACAGATCATTGCAGCATCCCATAATCCAAATCCTGCCCACATTCATTCAAAAATACATCACATTACAGACACTAAAGATGCTCTAATAATATATAAGCATATTTTCATATTCACTATAACAGAGGCAGGTGTCCCTTTCATACCGAGCACATTGAGCGTCACAGTAGCTTCTCCCAGGCTCACGTGGTCCTCGCTGGCCGTCACCTCGCAGCGATACTCCCCCGAGTCTTTCTGAGAGACCGAGTGAAACGTCAGCGTCGCCCCCTCCATCTTCGCCCTGCTGGCATACTGGCCTATGGTGGGAGGGGACAGAGGTACAGCTTAACAACATGAATAAATCAAAGGGTGATTATGAAAGGACGATGGGAAGAAAGGCAACTCAATATCAGGCATTTCTGTTGAGAGATGTAAAGGAATTCCTGTAGGTCTGTCACTCACCAGTGAATTTGTGATTAAAATACACAAACGTCACCCCCATTCCCTTTTTCTTCCACTCGATTCTGGGGTTCTGATCTTTCTCCGTCCTGAACTCACAGGCCAGCACAGCATCTGGTAGGACAAGACAAAAAAATGTGAATACAGTACATATACTTTTCTTTAAAGTAACTGTTTAGGTTAATTTTTGCTAAATATGTTGATTTCTGTCACAACTGTGTTAAAGTTCTATTGTCAAAGTTTCATATTAGGCCACATTTTTTCAATCAGTTTGACTCTAAATGTAAAATTTGATGGCAAGTTAGGGTGAAATCCATACAGCATTAAAGATATAAGGAACAAGTTTAAAAAGAACAAAACTTCAATCACATAATGTATGATTTTAAGGATAAGTCAAATAAGCTGAGTCTGACCTGTGTGTTCGTGGACCTCCACTTTGGGTTTGCTGCTGCTGACCGTCACTGACAGAAAGAGAGGACCTGCAGGAGAGAGGGTCAGCTGTGGACAATCTTCAAGACAGTTTTCACTCTAAGTAAACAATCAGGTTGAGGCTACTTTTTTGTAGGTCAAATTGTTTTCCAGACATGATATCCATCGTAACACACGTTTTAAGACAACACAGACAAACATCATGGATTCACACACCATATAGAAAAAAGTGAACTTCCCAAGACAGAATATGTGCATATCTGCTTTCTTTGTCTGGATGCACACACACACCCCCACACCAGCCTGGTGGTGCCAGGAGCGGTGGTGTGTAGGAATGCAGGTGATGGATGACTCAGACAAGCTGCCTAATCCCGACCTGATAACCTCCTCTAATGAAGTATCCCTTCAGAACACACTGCATTCCTCCACAAAATGTATGAGTCTAAATCTAAAAATATGCTGTAGATGCCCCAAAACTGTAATGGTAGCTGGCTTAGATCAATGCATTTTTGATAAACTTCAATGGCAAGAAGTTTTCACTGCAGGAAAACCCAAAGTCAAAGTTTTATCTAAGTAAAAATTGATAAATAATGTTTAAAAATTAATATAATCCCATTGATAATGTGCAGTTTCTTTTACTATAAATCCATGGTAACAATTTGTTATTGCAAACGTTTCCAGCTGCTGTTCCCTGTGAAGGACTCAACTAATTGAACAAGACAATAAGGAGAAAACAACGACGGAGAATCACTTAAGGAGCTTTAATATTCCAGGTATTAATGCATACACCTTGTTTGGCATTATGCAGAGAACACATGGGATCAATTAATGAGTGTGTGTGTGTGTGTGTGTGTGTGTGTGTGTGTGTGTGTGTGTGTGTGTGTGTGTGTGTGTGTGTGTGTGTGTGTGTGTGTGTGTGTGTGTGTGGTCTAGCATTACTATACTTGTGGGGACCTAAATCTGTTTACATAGTCACGTGTGGGGACTGGCTTCCCTTATGGGGACCAATTGGAGGTCCCCATGAGGGGAATCATTAATTTTAGGGTGAAGACTTGGTTAGGTTTAAGATTAGGGTTAGGGTAAGGGTTAGGGTTAGGCATGTGTTGGTTATGGTTAATGTTAGGATAAGTCTCCAGGAAATGCATGTAAGTCAATGTAATGTCCCCTGAAGTGATGTATACATGTGTGTGTGTGTGTGTGTGTGTGTGTGTGTGTGTGTGTGTGTGTGTGTGTGTGTGTGTGTGTGTGTGTGTGTGTGTGTGTGTGTGTGTGTGTGTGTGTGTGTGTGTGTGTGTGTGTGTGTGTGTGTGTGTGTGTGTGTGTGTGTGTGGCGCACACATGCGTGGAGAGCATGCTTGTTGAGACAAAGCAGCTCTTTGTGAAAGTAACCTTACCCTCCTCAGCTGGCACAACACACACCACACTCACACAGACAGATATCTACACACACGTGCAGCACTCCACACTGGATGAACCTTTAACCATGACACTCAGCTTAACCTAAACCTCTCTGCCATGAACCCGATTTAACCTACAGTAAAAACAGAAATTACATGCATTGTATTCTACTTTTTGTCTGATTATTTTACTCATAGAAAAATGCATTTTTAGGATTCTCATAGCAGTAGAAAGTGCTTTAAAAAGGTTTTACACTTTGCAAATAATGCCAGCACCATGCACTGGATCCTTTATTTTTGATCAGCCTTGTCCTGACTGAGGATAAGGATTTATATATGTTCATCTCTGTGAGGAAGTTGTTCCCTGATCATAAGGAAATACAAGGAAGATCAAAACAAACGTCAAAACTGCAATTATCAACATAAAGCATTTTGTTTGGAAAGCAGCTTCTGCCCCTGAGAGATCCCCCAAACACTCCAAATGCATTTTTCCAGATAGCAAGTGGTCGTATTTCATCTCAGTCCAATCAACAACAGAGTCAGGCGGGGCCATCTTCAAACTGAAGCGTTGGGATCTCAGACTCCTCCACGAGATTTGTTTCATCAGCCGAAGATCTCGGGTTCAAACGGCATCAGAGTGGGTTTCATGTAAACACGCAGCCCAAACAGAACCACTCCCTGCACAATCTCAGCCTCTGATGCAGTCCCTGAACGCATCACATTTCTCCTCCTGACGTGCACTAACACTACTGATCAATAAATCATGAACCAAAAATAATTTCAGTCTGCTTCATGCTGAAATCATAAGCATTGATCACAGTTTTTCACAACTTCTCTGTTGCAAGACCAAACATGCATCACCTAAGAAAACCTCTTCATTCATTTAGAAGTCAATCACACACAAAAAAAACCTGCATGTGTTCTGCATTTATGAGGGACAGTACAACAAGTAAAGGGAGAAGGGGGTCAGAAATAGAGGAGGGTTAAGTCTTTTTTTACTTTAACATTTTCCTTTGCAGCAACAAAAACTGTTAGTCCAAATATATTATCATATATTTCTAAAGAGATATTGGGGTGAAGATATGAGAGCAGGATCCAAATAAATTGTTTATTTTCCAAAAATGAGGTTGGACCCCCCTACCAACACCTATCATTTTGGTACATTCTCTAACTTTTCCCTTTAATATAGAATTTATATTTAATGCTGCGTCTTCTATGCAGGCCTTCAGAGAAGATGTTGATATTATGGACCCAGATTTCAAATGAAATACAAGTCTGAAACAACAGAATACCTGGTATCAATACAATACCATCAGTAGACATCTTTAAAGCTCTAACATGCACTTCTTTCTCGGAAAACTTCTTGCAATAGATCTATAAGCCTATTGCAGCCTCTTTTCTGAGTGTTGGTAAAGTGCTTAATAAAGTTCCTAAAAGCCGAACAATACTCACTGTGCATCAAAGTGATGAGGAGGGTCAGAGCCAACACCTTCATGGTGTTCATGTTTAGTCCCGGTGAGTTCAGATCCGTCCGCTGAGCCTCGATGAAAATTGTTTTACTCCAAAGTCTTTGCAGCTTCTTCAAGTTTCATCTGCAGCACGTGCACACTTTCTGGAGCAGCCTGGACAACTGAGGGCAGCGTGAACAGGGCGGAGGAGCTGCTGCTGTCCTGATGTCCAGGGAGACCCCCGCCCACAGCAGGGGGAACATGAGCTCTGAGACGGGTCGTTCTTTGATCTTAGTTTCTCATACAGTACAATTAGCACAAGGTTTAGTGTGTAGGAGTATGTACGCCTACAAGTGACAACATGTCCAAGACTGATTTGGGTTCTTAGGAACGGAGCAAACATAGGAAAGTAAACACATTTCATTTAACTAAGTTTTTATCAAAAGCGACTGAAAATAAAAGCCCTTAACCATGAGGGTGCAAATTCAGAACAGTAAGAATCCAGGAGGTATATTATCCTCAAATAAGTCAAACTATTGTAAGTGCAACATACAGAAGTGTTAGTCAGCGACGGATGACGTGCAGGGGTTGAAAGAAACAAGGTTGATTTACTTGGTGGGTATAAATAATCAATTTGTAATCGCATTATATGAAATGAAAATGTTCAAGCAATGTTCATTTTAAGCTTTAAAAAGGAGTTTCATCTCATTGTTTGGCCGTTCAACACTGCTCTGATTTACTCACAACTCCAAATACAATATGGTATAGCTTTCCAACGGTTTGATGTAAATACACAACTGTTTCATAACATCTTAAAATGTGGTGATATGTCAGTGTTGTGTGTTTAACTTGTTTCTAGTGCCTCCAAGTGGCCAAAAACTCAGGTACTTGTATAAAGGGGAAAGAAAGGTAGTGGTAACTCCACTTTATACTTCTACAATTTGCTGTTAAATATATTTCATTTCTCTCGACTTATTTGACCGATATAATAGTTTGGCCTAAAAAGTATTTTGATGATTTTGCTTTTAATTAATTCCAACTTTTTCTAACATCAATCGTTATTATTTGATATTTGCTTTCTGTGTCTAACACATTGATTAAATTAAAAAAAGTGTTTACCATTATTGACTTGCTTTTATTTCAATCATATTCCTTCATCGTATCTCCTTAGGATTTTATTATTTTATTGTTTTCACTCCCAGTCTCCTCCTTATCACTTCTGTTGTTGATTTCTTTCTACTGTAAGGCACTTTGAGCTGTGTTTTATGTCATGAAAGGCAGTATATCATTACAGTTAAGAATACGTATTATTTATTATTTTGCTAAATAAACACATGATCTGATTCAGTCAGCTCTTTAGGAACAATTAAATACATCTTTAGTGTAATACTAACTACCTCTTTAAAGCGTGTAACCCTCCACCTGAATGTAAAGATGTAAATCCCTCAGTTAGAGCTGTGAGTGAAATAGGAGGTGCAGAGAGGACAGCTGCTGCTGAGCTTCTGTGTCCTTGGCTATTAGGTTTCTGAGCAGCAGCAGCCACACAACAGCTCATTGTCGCTCATTCTGGTTAATGTGCACACATGCTCACATTTGTGGCCATATGCACACTCAAAGACACACTTTAAAGACACACACAGGACACACACAGGACACACACAGGGGCCATCAGTGCAGACACATGTGGAAAGCATAAGAGAAATACAAAGTTTCAAAATCTCTGCTGCAGCACCTGTTCACCATCTACAGTCCCAGCTGCTGCGCTCGAGCAGGTTGTCATGTTACACCATACAGTCTGTGTGTTTCACACACACCAAGAACAACACCGCTCAACACACACTACTCACTTTACACCAACTTGTTTCACATAAACAACCTCTCTCAATCCTATATAAACCAAATATACGTGAAGAGGCGACTTTACATGCAAACTGATCTTTTACAGCCACTGTAAACAAAGTACTAAGATTTTTTACTCAAGTAAATGTATTAGTACCACGGTGCAAAACTACTTTGTTGCAAGTAAGATTCTGCATTTAACTGTGTACTCGAAAAAAAATGCACAAAGGAAGAAGCATCAAAATATTATGAAAGTACAAAAAATGTAACTTCTCATTCTTCAGAATAATCTTATATTATTTAAAGGGGCCCTATTTTGCTTTTTTTTTAGGTTCATATTTCTATTTAGTGCCACTACTGTGACTTGTCTCCATGCTTTGATGTTCAAAAAGCTCTTTATTTTTCTCATACTGCCTGTGCTGCAGCACTTCTTTTCACCCTCTGTCTGAAACCAGAGCCCAGTCTGCTCTGATTGGTTAGCTAGAAACACAAGGGTGGCATTGTGATGTTACGGAAGAAACTCCCTCTTGAGGGGACTCTGGGATTTTAGCCTTTGGAGACCATTTTCATCCACAAAAACCTATATAACACACAATTAAATTAAAGAAAAATATGAATGCATTATTGTTGCAGTTGAAACAATAAAAGGTCAACGGCACGCTTTTTTGTTTACTGTATATGCTGCCAGGTATCTTGTGACTCAATGAACTTTAATGTTGACCAATAATAATACATAATACAAAGAGTCAGATAAATGACGGGGGGTAAAAAGTACAATATTGTTGCCTCTGAAATGTTGTTGTGTGTGCAAGTAAAAAAGTAGCAGGAAATAGAAATACTCACATACAAATACCTTCATATCGTACTGGTATGAGGTCATTCTCTCCCTGCTGTGACATGGCCAAATGTATGCTGTAAAAAATCAAATCCAATCAGTACTACATAAGCTTAAATACATGTATTGCATATAAATACCAAAACATTCATCAAGTACAACTACATTATTTCTTAAATGTGTTTAGGAACAGTATCATTGAATACTTCCCAGGTGTTTGTTTCGTTGGTAGAGCCTTGAACAAGTGAACTTTCTACCCTCTTAATTATGAAGTGCATGCCATGAGGAAACAAAAGAGAAAAAATATGTGCTCTGGACAAGATAAGTTAACAGGAAGGCATAGTTTTATGATTTACAGACAGTAGAATTAAAAGAGGTTTGACTTATGGCGTTCATAAAGATTAGGTGTACCACTAATAACAGATAAATACAATACACTCACAACGAGAACAGCACATAAACAGGATAATAACTCGCTGCTACGAGGCACATTTCACAGTAAATCACAGACTACAATACTAAACAAAGATTTATTCAAACAGAAGAAGATGAAGGCGCTGGCATTGCTCGCACTGAGCCTCGCAGGTGAGAGATTTTATAATTGTTTTACTTTGTGTGTTATCCAGAATATGGTTTACCTCAAATACTTTTACAAATATGCTCCGTTTAATTTAGCATTAAAGGGTAATTTTTCCTAATTACTTGAAGATTTAGCATCTAGTCTCAGCTTAATTTTAATCATTTATTTCCAGTAATGATGTTTCTATGACTTTCTCTATGAGCTTTGTCCCTAAAGAGAGTCTAGTTAATTATCAACGCTGTGTTTATCTCATCATATCATGTACAAATCATTCTGTTGTGTCTGTTGTGTAATTGTTTCAAATTGAAATGCTTTACAAGGCACATTAACTCATGCACACTTGAACTGCTTGAACGCAAAATCACAACAAAGATATCTCTAAACAAAAGAGAACTATACTACAATGAAAAACAACATGTCTGCAGATCATAAAGTGTGTGTGTTTCAGTCTGAGGGGTGTGTGTCCAATGGCCCAATGTCGTCCAATGGTGGCATGTACATTTAATCTGCCTTTTCTCTTATTTGTCTCTTTGCAGTGGCTCTGGGAAGGCCACCATTTGATTCACGAGTTGCACCGAACCCTGTGCTGCCTGGAGACAACCAGAGCCGTCTGCTGGGAGACTGGGTTCCTGTGCAGGGTCATGTGGTGGTGGAGGACCCTGCACCACAAGTCCGGCCTCGCTTTGAGGAGCAACAGGTAAAACCAGCTCCAGTAAATCTGAATCCAGAGGTCAAGGCTGAAATAAAAGTTGACGTGAAGCCAGATGTTGAGATGGAGCCAGAGCTCAGCAATAACCCAGACTTTAAGGTGGAGCCAGATGTTCAAGAGGCAGAATCAGAAGAGAGCCACATTGACATGGAGGAAAAATATGAACTGGTGGGTGAACCAATCATGCAGCAGGAGCCACTGGATGAAGACAACGTGTCTGAAGCAAATCAGAATCAAGATCCTGTCAATCAACGTCTCTCAGAGGAGGAAGAGGGGCTTATAAGAGAGAAGACCTACGTTTTAGATGGAGAACCAACAATGGAACTGGAAAACCAACACGTTGAGGATGTGCCAGAGCTCAGCGATAACCCAGACTTTAAGGTGGAATCAGAGGTTAAAGTGGAGCCAGATGTAGAAACAGAAGAGAGGCACATTGATATGGAGGACAAATCTGAAATGGCGGGCAAACCAATCATGGAGATGGAGCCACTGGATGACGACGACATGTCTGAAGAACTGAGCAACACAGAAAAGTCTTTAAGGGCAGCATTTCAGCATCAAGATCCTGTCAATCAATATCTCTTAGAGGAGGGGGGGGGGCTTATGAGAGAGAGGACTTACATTTTAGATGGAGAACCAATCATGGAGCTGGAAAACCAACCAGTTGAGGATGTGTCAGAGCTCAGCGATAACCCAGACTTTAATGTGGAATCAGAGGTTCAAGAGACTGAAGCAAAATTGAGGGACATTGACATGGAAAAAAGATATGAAATCGTTGGTGAGCCAATCAGGGAGCTGGAGCCACTGGAGGACGATGACATTTCTAAAGAGGAACTGAGCGAAATGGAGCTTTTAGAAGTGGAAACGTCTTTGAGGGCGGCATATCAGTATCAAAATGCTGTCAATCAACGTCTCTCAGAGGAGGAAGAGGGGCTTATAAGAGAGAATACCTACGTTTTGGACGGAGAACCAATTTTGGAGCTGGAGCCACTGGAGGTTAAAGTGCAAGAGAACTTTGAGGAAGAGGGTGAAGAAGGGCGGGAGAATGATATTGAGCATAAATATGAAATAGTGGGCGGGCCAATCATGGAGCTGGAGCCACTAGAGGATGACAACGAAGCCCAAAAGGAGTTTCCGCTGCAAATGAACCTTGAGGAAGAGACTCAATCAAACCAGGAGACTGAAGAGAAGCACATTGACATGGAGGCAAGATATGAAATGGTGGGCGAGCCAATCATGGAGCTGGAGCCACTAGAGGATGACAACATGAATGGAGAGAAACTGAGCAGCAGGTCAGAAGTTAACACGGAGATAAGATATGAAATGGTGGGCGAGCCAATCATGGAGTTGGAGCCACTGGAGAACAAAGACACGGAGCAGACAGAAGAGGAAGGAGGGCCAGCATTGGACATCTTTGGGCAGCCGCGGAAAACTTCAGAGGAGTATTTCCCAAATGAAGAGGCTAGGATGGGCTCTCCCATGGTGGATGGGTCCAACTATTTGATGATGGATGAAACAGCGAGTGAGTTTTTCCAAACAGACCAGATATCCCCAATGGCAGCAGACAGTCCTGTGATGAATCATGTAAGAGAGCCAAGGGCATTGAGGAGGCAGGCTGTAAACAATCCTGAAGAAAGAAGATCATCACCAAAACACAACAAGCAAGGTAAAGTGTGAACAAATGATGCACACACACTTTAATAAGGAGATTGGAAAAGAGAACTGATTACAGTTTAAATAAATGTTTTATAAGTGCATGTGAGTTGTGTTTTAGAGTTGGAAAACCTATCATTTAAAAAGAAAAAGTGTGTAATTTCCCCTTTTGGCCACAGGGCAGAGCTGTTCCCCTGGTGTGATGATCGAGGGGAAGTGTTACCAGTTCTTCAAAGAGCCAAAGAAGGCTGCAGATGCTGAGGTATGTTGCACACTTTGACACTTCCAGGCGTGCACAAGTTTAACATTAATATGTTAGTTCTATAAGCACATCACTGCAACATGGCTGCATGCATACAGTTGGCTAAGTCTAATAAGTGATGCATCTGCATAAACATGCGTTTACATTCTCAATCTTGCATTACTCATAACATCAAAAAGTCTACTGGCAATTAACCCGTTTAACAAACTGACAAGCATACATAACATACTGGCATTAGTCCATATTACAGTAGCTCGCAGGTGACACAATCTTCGTCAATTCTCCGGTAAAACTACGATAACGTGCAATATAAATATCATATCTGCGTTACCGCTAGTTTGTTACACTTACTTACACATTTATTATACATATGTGTCACTACTTTTCATTACTTTAGCTTACCTGAAAATACAGAAACACAACAACATCAATGCAGCGTGGATGCGATGCAAACTGCGGGCTCCGTCTTTAGTGATGCCTTCACTTTTTGTGAGTTTCCCCTGCAGGACCCTGAGCTGCCCTCTGTGCCTGTGTGAGCTGTACTCTTTTAACCTTAACTTGACCTATTCAATATTATAGTTGGCATACATCAGGCAATTACAGGTTAATTAAATAGAACTAAACACAAATATAAAGTTTCTTGTTTCAATACACAGTTGTATGTCCATAAACATCTGTGCGTCCCACAGGTACCAATATTATGTTTTTCAAAGATGAACTACTAAACCTTTTTAAAGCTAAACTTCTTATATGATAATGTGCATTATCCCACCTTCACTTCTTCTCTGTTTCTCTGCAGTTCTTCTGCCAGGATCATTTCTCTGGAGGTCACCTGGCCTCCATCTCCAGCCCTCACGTCCACAGAGAGGTGATGAACCTGATCCGGCAGAACGGAGGTCTGACTCGCACCTGGGTCGGAGGGCTGAGATATTTGGAGGTGTGTATGTTGTATCTCATATCCAATACCATCATCATTTATCAGATTATAAATCATGCTGTATGTTCTTTTTTAACACGTCATAGTCTGTATCATATTTAAATAGCATCTCTATATTAGTGCAGTCAATCAGAACTTGCCATTATTTGATCATACAGTATCATCAATCCGATAAACAAGACCTATCTTTAAATAATATTTTAAAGTGAAAACACTTTTTCTAACGTGGTCCCAAGATAAAGGCAAAGAAGAAAATAAAACAAAGTGCAAAAAATTCACAATGAAATATTAATTAAAACTTCCTATCTCAAAGAATGTACATTTAAAACATTACGCAAAAAAACGAGGAACGCTAAAATAACAATATCATTAAAAACACAATCATCAATAATTTACACTTTTCCAAAGAAAGGCACTTTTATTTAAATACTTGATGTGTAGAAGAGGGCTCTCACATGGGAGCAGCTTAAAAATAAGTAATTTTTCACTCGATTATTCATCATTTTTTATAAATTGTCTTCTTCTATTCTTATATAAGCCTTAATATACCTCTCATTATTTATTATTTGACTTCCCTCTTTACCTATACTATTGTTGTCTGTGTGCTGCCGTGACAACATCATTTCATTAATACATGTCTACCATACGATATCATAGGATAGGATAATACTATAATTTCAAACAGAAGTCTGACATTTTTCTTGCATCAAAGCAGCAACATCAACAAGGACAGATATTTAAAACAAGAGACAGACTTTTAACATTATATTCACTGAGGACCATGTGTTCAAGACCCTTAGACGTGCATTCAACCTGGGATTGACTCACTTACCTTAAAGGGGCATAAATCTGTTAATAATCACTTAGCCTTCACCTATTACATAATGTCATTACCGTGTTTGTATCTGTTGAATTAATTAAATAAATGACTCAATTCCCAATCTAATTTCCCCTCATTAATGTCCCGTTATCAGACCGGTCGCTTCATCTGGTTGGACGGCTCTCACTGGGGCTTTGCTGATTGGCTGTCAGGGGAGCCCAACAACACGTCAGATTTAGAGGACTGCGTGGAATTGCTGCCACAGGGTAGGACTGGTTTAACCCTGAACTAAATGGAGATAGATCATTTACTTGTTTACTTTGATGTTGCACCAAGTTTGAATATTAACCACTGTGTTTCTGATCTGCTGATCATTTGTTTTGCAGGAAATGGAAAGTTCAATGACTTCACCTGCTGGGAACCTCAGGCTTTCGTCTGCTCCTATTAATGGATATACAGACACACCTCATATCTTATCTAGTCCTTGGGCTGATATGATGAAGAGTTTGCTACCTTTTCCTTGAGTTTAAAATCATATCTTGGGAATACAATGGACTGAATGAAAGAACCATGAAATCTATTATTGAATAAAACTGGAAAATCAGGACTTGTGAGCATGTTGTATATTATATTCTATATTTGTTTTTTGATAACAAGCTATATCCTGTAAATAAAACACCATAATGTGTTATTTTTGAGTTGAATTATGTATCATTTAAGTGTATTGAAATGTGTGTAGGCTACCAAGATATTTAGACTTACTTATTTACATTTACATTCAATTTCACTTATCATATATTGTTAAGTACAATGTTTGTGTGTCACAAATAGAAAGTGCTGATTCAACACACCCGTTTAAAATAGAGTTTAATATTTATTTCGGGAAATGTGATTCTAGTAGATTAAAGCTCTACACTCAATTGCCAGTTAGTGTACAACTCATCTATAACTTATACAGTCTAAATAATAGAGGAGCACTGCAATTAAAGCTGCTAAATAAATCAAGTTGTCAACTATTAGATAAATTGCTTACATTTTTAGATTTTTAGTCAATTCTATTGTTGTAAGTTAACATTTTTAAGTCAATATTTTTTCTCATTCCAGCTCGTAAATATGAATATGATCTTCTTTACTTCTCTATGACAGTGAGCTTAATATAGTTGAGTTAGAGCTACTGTATCTGAGGACACCATATTGAAACATTGATCACCATTTTTTGAAATTGTACAGAGCAAACAACCAATTTTGTATCAATAAATGAATTGAGAGATTAAGAAACATGAAAGTAATTGTTAGTTGGAGCCTTTCCTGCATCCGTTTTGTTTTGTTATTAACTCTTTCCTTATAGTGGGTTGGACATACTAGAAATACCTTTCTGTATAATGCAATACAATCCAACAACACCACAAACTGCAGCTTCAACAGAAGGATTGTTGCAGGGTTGTTTAGCTTTAGATGTATCTAGGTCAGGGGTGTTTTTTTCACGAGGGCCACATACAGAACAATATACGAAGGGCTGGGCCACTCACTAGAGGCGAGGTATATTGCCTCATAAGTTAAGTTATAAGTTGGAAAAATCAATCCAATATAGGTAAATTATTCTTGATACTTGAAAATGCTGTTAGAAAAAAGCTGCCCACCTCACAGCTCTGCAGAGCTTTTATTTATTTTGTTAGCAGCTCATTCCTTAAAACAGAAGCTTCAGATTGTTTATAAGAAGAGGAAATATGAAGGGTATATTTCGAGGTTGTTATGTACATTTGTTATTGGGCTTTTTTCTTATCAACTTAGATTTGTTAGAACATGTTTTCAACTTTAATTGACTGAATTAATTTGAAATGTTGGCTTATTAACACATGAATACTGTTATATAACATTTGAACATATATATTTAAGAAGTACAATATAAGACAAGCAGAAGTTTATTATACTTAAGTCATTATACGTTTTGAATTTGCTGAGGGCCTATTCAAAATAGTCCGCGGACCGCATTTGGTCCCCGGGCCGTAGTTTGGACACCCCTGATCTAGGTGTACGTGATGAATAAACTGGAAGTTAGCGCAGCAGCTTTGTTGTGCTTTACATTACATTACATGTTACTTGTTAGACGCTTTTATCCAAAGCGACTTACATTCTCAATACTGTGGACAATCCCCACAGGAGCAATTTGGGGTGAAGTGTCTCCAGGGACACAACGACATGCTGACTGCAGTGGGGTTTGAACCTGTGACCCCCTGACCCGAACACCAACACACAACCCACTGCGCCACACGCCTCCCACAGCCCGCCGATTTATTAAGGTTTAGGTGGGGAGTGTTTACCAGGAAACATTGACATAACCATCAGTCCTTTGGTTGTTTCTAAACCTCCAGTCCATCTAGGACCCAAATACAGCCGGCCCGTCTCACACAACTCAGGAACTCAAGGAATTCTGGCTTATTTTTTCCAGAACAGGGTGATGAGTTAAGTCACAAAAGCAATCTGTTCCTGTGCCAAATATCTGGCATGGCATGGCAATGGAAGATTTAAAAATCACATGTCTTCTGTCTGCAACATTGCTGTGTTGACATGTTTATGTTCTTCTGTTAATGAGGCTACTCTCATTAAGTACCATTCATCACCTTCCCATTTTAAAATACAGCAGCCTTAGCGCCTATTAGCTGATGTATTCACACATCCCAGTGCTACTGTAAATCCAGCTGGGACTCACATGTTGCTCTGTGTGTGACTGTGACTCATTTTCCACTGGCCTACACGACCTGTTTCTGACCTTTGGACGTGGAGGTGAGGATTAACCACTGCGAGGTGATGACTGGCCGCTCTTCATCCTTCTATTTTGATTGCATGCTGCTCCACATATACTGTATTTATTCACCCGATATAAACAAACAACAAATTAACAATCCTAATTCTTTGGTTTGAGAAAAAGGTTTACATTTGACACGTGAGACACACCCTGCTTGAAACGCCTCCATTGGACTCCTTTCTTTACTTCAGTAACATAGTGACATCAATAAGTTACACTTGCCCTTCAATTGGCTAACACACTGTAAGGATAGGCTAAAGGGCGGGACATCTCCAGCTAACCAATCAGAGCAGACTGGGCTCTGGTTTCAGACAGAGGGTGAAAAAGGCAGTGTGAGAAAAATAAAGAGCTTTTTGAACATTAAAGTATGGAGACATGTCACAGTAGAGGGAACAAATAAAAATATGAACCTGAACATGAGCATCATAGGGCCCCTTAACATTTTACAAAACAATAAACTAACTATATGATAAAAGTTCATTTATGCATTACCAATTACTCACCATAGACTCATTGTTGGTCTTCTATCTGTGCACACATTCTCCATTGTTCCAATACCTGGTAAAGTGACTTTTGCTGGATTTAAGAGATCACTGTCGAAATATGTTTCTGCACTCTGAAACTGGCTTTGCTGCACATTGCATGGATGCATAACAATATTCATAAGAAATGCATCAAACGGGCGGGAGTCTGGCAAAACAACAACATCTGTTCAATATGTCATTCATCAACAATGATTGATAAATGAAATAGAGAGCGTTGGATTGCTGGTTTGGAGATCCTGATGCTCTGGAAATCCTTTAAGACCATGCTTATTGTTGCTGTTTAGATGAGTGTGACTCAGTGTAGCTGCTCGCCATCTGTCAGTACCATTTTCTGGCTTCACAACCAGTTGTCTGCTGGTGAAGTGTGTGTGTGTGTGTGTGTGTGTGTGTGTGTGTGTGTGTGTGTGTGTGTGTGTGTGTGTGTGTGTGTGTGTGTGTGTGTGTGTGTGTGTGTGTGTGTGTGTGTGTGTGTGTGTGTGTGTGTGTGTGTGTGTGTGTGTGTGTTATTGCAATCTGTAAACAATAGTCACACCACATTTGACACAATGTTGGGGGCATCAAATGTTTTTTATTAAAAAGCTAAATAGTCCCATAACAGGTGTCTTCTAAAATCGTTAACATATATAATAATTAAAGTCGTAGATGACATTATATTTGAGTTGTCTGCATCTCTTCTGGTGATTAAATCTGTGACTACTGTTCATATTTACTGATGCAGTTGAAGGCATATGTTGTTTTTGTGGACTATGCAACAATGATTATGGGATTGATTAAGAGGAGGGGGGGTCAGAAAAGGTTGACGGTATGGTCATGTTTGGGAGAGCATGGGAGGGTAATCTATGTTAGGTTTATGTATTTATTAGTGCTGTCAAAATTATCGCGTTAACGGCGGTAATTTTTTTTTTTAATTAATTGCGTTAAAATATTTAACTGCATGTGCAGAATGGCCCGCCCCATACGTGCCACCAGTGGCAGCGCCAGGGTATGGCTGGGGTAGGCTACACCCATACCAAGAAATGGCTTAGCCCCACCATGAAAAATGATGTTAAAGCAAAATTAAGTCTGCCAACTCGCGCGGAGTAAATTGCACAGACAGCAGTTAGTAAGATTGATTTCAGTATCCACGGTTTTGAAAACGTTTGTCACGTAGTGATCATCTTCTCAATAGAACATCTTTGATAATGTCTTCTGGCCAATCAGAATCAAGATAACGGCGTGGTGTTGTTGCAGGAAGTCCCGACGGAGAATACAGTAGTATGTAGCTGTAGTACAGGGGTGCACTGCACATAACTGGTACGCAGGTTATGTGCGTAATCTGAAATGCGTACCGTCACTTGTGTCACAAAGCGCATTTGCGTACCGCTTTCCAGAAGGCGGTTAGATCACCGGACGACAGAGTCGGTCTCCGTGTGCACAGACAGGGCTGCTGTTAACGTCGGTCTGTTCAACGGCATTGTGCCAAAACTACGCCAACCGGCTGCGGAGGGAGACTCCCCCCCTTCACTGGAGAACTGCGCTAAAACAGCTGATCACAACTTTCACACTCTGTGGTCATGAAGTACTCCACTAGCGCCCCCCGTCGACTTTCCTGAAGTACTCCCCCGTTGATAGAAAGCAACACGTAATTAATTAAGACCCCACGGTTTGATGATTGATAGCCAGGTGTGTGGGCTGTCTTTCATTTTGACACACAGAAAAATGTTATAATAAACATACATACTGTATGTTAAATGGATATATCCGCCTTCTTTCATTTATCTTTCCATTCCCACAACAATATACATAAATAAATGGCATATTTTGGACATAGTTCGAATGGTCATTAATCATGATTAATTAATTTTTAAGCTGTGATCAAATCTGATTAAAAAATGTTAATCGTTTGACAGCCCTAGTATTTATGTGTTCGGTTTAAGAATCAGGATTTCGGAATTTTGCAGCAATCAGGTTCAAAGTTGAAGACTTTCGATGCATCTCTCCACCATCGGCATTTAATAAAGTTATAAATTCCCTGGAAAAATGTACTGAAATGTTCGTAATTTTTGTCGTTGATTTTGTGATGTTTTAAGGAGGATCTTGCAGTCCAAAAGAGGGTTAAAATGTTATATTAAATACAATTCAGATTCAAAGGTTTAATGTCGTATCCTATCCTAAGGTTAAATTACTAACAAACTGAAGTCCAAGTGGTTTAGCAGGTAGGATGTAGAGAGAAGGGAAAAGCATGCAGGTTTAGAGATGCCGTCTGAAGAAGAGAGGAATGAAAA